GGATACAATATCATCTGTGAAATAAGAATACCAGCACCTTCCCTGCCTACCTCCCAGAACTGTTTTGAGGATCTAACAAAAATATTAAGATGATTCCTAAGATGTATTATTACTCATCTTTGAATGCCTAGTGTCGTATATATAGTAGGAAATCAGTAAATATTTCGGGGAGATAGAAAGGAAAGCAGGAAGGAAGGGAGGGGCGGAGGAAAGGAGGAAAGAATTACTATTATTACAAAAGAGCTCGATTAAGAGCTGGTTTTTTTGTTCTATTTAATTATTCCTAGATTTATGTCCTTAGGTAGTCACTTAACCTCTCTCAGATTCAGTTTTTCCATCTATAAAATGGAACTATTTTTAATATCTCTTACACTCCTTACTAAATGAAACAATAAAGTATTTATCAAAGTATCTGAAATATGAAAAATTTCAGTACAACACATTTTTTACACAATGTTGAGCTTTGCCCTATTTTTTTATTTGTTTAGTTGGTTGGTTTTGCTTTGGCAAAACATTTGCTAATTTGCTTACAAAATATGGCCTGCATCATGTTTAAATAAAAGAACTAAACTTATGCATTTTGTTTTTGCAAAGACAGAGAGAAAACTTGCCACTTTTTCAACTTTCCAACTTATTCTTTAATGTGGCTCAGAAACTCAACTAACTTACACAAAGAGAAAATGAATTCACCTTCACTGGAAGGACATCTACGATTTCAGTTTATCAGCCTGTTTTATGCCATTTCCCTCTTCATTCTATAAATCTTTAATAGCTTAATGTATTCTATAAAGCTTAGAATTTTATCCTAATTCCTTTCCTGTTTTCCACAGTCCCAGTGTGCTTACTGGCAGAAACAAATACAACCAAGCAGTCTTTGAAATGTTCTCATGGAGTCACACTAGAGGCACAAACAGGACCAGGTTTCCATATCTTTAGGAAGGATGGTAATGGAAACAGTGCTTTAATTCATAGAAAAATATCCACAAAGCAGATGGCTAAGAATCCACTGTTCTTTTACCCTTCATACAACATATTCTTGCATATTTATGACAGAACTAAAGAATTTCAAATATGAAAATGCACAAAATTGTTTCCAATCCAATCTGTAAATAACTGTTGAGCTCACATTGTGAGAACCATCATGGACACTACTTAATATAAACTCAAAACATAGAGCACTGGCCAGTGACAATTAGTTAGCCTCAATGGCTTTTCATCGTTACCTGGGCTAACCATCTCTTGAATGACCCAAGGTCAAATCAGTGCATGATGAACATATTCCACAAAACAACAACGATGATAACAATAAACCCTAGCATACTGCTATATCTCCTGCTCTACAACAAAGAGTTGGTGATCAGTATATGGTTATTTAATGAATAAATATGTAAAATGAACTGGTTTTATCCAGTGATTTCTTATGCCCCCTTCTAGGAGTAGAAAGTGGGCAGATCTGATGACTGATCAATACTGGACATTGGACAGAGCCAGCAGGACACATAAGGAGGAACACTAACAACAACAAAAATATATATAGATTGGGGATGGCAGGTAGATATCTAAAGAAGGAGCTCTTCAGAATTTAGATCTATCTTTCCCAGTTCTCATCTCTACCTCATCGGTGTACACCTCATGAATACCACATTTAGGGCAGAGTTGGACAGTTTGGGATTCTTTGTAGTCTCCCAGGACCACAAGAGTCCCAGTCAGGGCCCCTCTAAGGATCCCATCTGGGAGGAATGGCATCTGGGCACTAACACACACACACCCACGTATTCATTCTGTGATTAAAAAAAGGACTCTACCAAAGTCTGTATCACCTCCCTCACTGCCACAGTAACAGGAAAAGCCAAATGAAAACAAAGAACATAAAGCTAGAAGTGAGCCCAGTAGCTTTTGATTCTCATAAACTTCCAGGGCCTGTGGGGAATTTGCTAAAGCAAGAGCATCATTATTATGAAAACAATAATTAACAAGTATAAATCATTTATGAGAATAGGCACAGATTTGTTTTGTGCTGTTAAAAATGTTGGAGCCACTGAAACATTAATTAATACTGAATTATGCAACACTCATTATAAGGCCTTTTAATCTTATTTATTTATATAAATAAACTTCCAAAATATATTATAAACTTCTACAATATATATTTTATAAACTTCTACAGTATATATTTTCCACAAAACCAAGGGTAGGACATGAATGTGGAAGTCAAGAGCCAAGGGACTATATATACACACACACATTCTCTGATTCTATATGCCATATCTATCTAGCTATCTACACACATACACACACACACACACTTGCTTAGTTAGCACAATGCTTTGCTCCTATATATGTCAATTTTATGTGGGATTAGGAGAGTTCATTTGGATTCAAATTCACTGTGTTCATTCTTTTCTCTTTTAAGATTTTATTTATTTATTTGAGAGAGAAAGTGTAAGCAGGAGTGGGAGGGAGGTGCAGAGTGAGAGGAAGAGGGACAAGCAGACCCCATGCTGAGTGTGGAGCCCGACACGAGGCTCAATCTCATGACCCCAAGATCATGACCTGAGCTGAAATCAAGAGTCTGATGCTTAATCGACTGAGACACCCAGGTGCCCCCACAGTGTTCATTCTTTTTTTTTTTTAAAGATTTTATTTATTTATTTGAGAGAGAGAATGAGAGACAGAGAGCATGAGAGGGGGGAGGGTCAGAGGGAGAAGCAGACCCCCCGCTGAGCAGGGAGCCTGATGTGGGACTCGATCCCGGGACTCCAGGATCATGACCTGAGCCGAAGGCAGTCACTTAACCAACTGAGCCACCCAGGCACCCCACAGTGTTCATTCTTAAGCCATGCATCAAAAGTGACAACAACAAACTCTTTAAACTACTCTTAATATGAGTACAAAAAATCCAAATACATTGGTTGTGTAAAATCCTAAAGCTCATTTGACTCATTGCATCCAGAATAGTTTTTTTCAAAGCATGAATTTAATCATGTCAATTCCCCTAACAAACTCTCCTGTTGTCCCTAAAATAAAGTCCAAATCTTCTAATATGACTTTTCATCTTCATAATCTGACCTCTCCTTCCTTATTAGTTCAAACCCTGGTGCCTTGAACTTTTTGCTCCAGTGTTGTCTATAGCTCTCTGAGCTTCTTATTCTCTTACTTCTGGATCTTTGATGAAGCCATTCCTTCTGTCTAGAACCTCTATTACTCAGTCTAATCCTGCTTCTCCTTCAGGTCCCAGATTGGACTCACTTCTTCTAGAAAAGCTTTCCTGTCTGAGTTAGGTGCCCCTTCTCTGTCCTCCGGTGGCATCATGTGGACTTATCACAATCTGCCCTTAATGTCTGTCCTTTTGTCTTTATTGGGTACTAGACTCCTTGAAGGCAAAGACCACATTTTGATCACTATTACATTCTTAGCACCTAGTGCCTAGCCATAGTAAGTGCTCAATAAATATTTATCGAATAACTGAATGGGGAACAAGAAGCCAGGTTAGCACCAACCACGATGGGTGGTATCTGTGCAAACTATCAGGTGTGAATTAACTCTGGTCTAAAGTTTTATTCACATTAGAAGGGCCCTAGCCTCCAGTCACTATACCTAGATTCAAAGCCCAGCTCAGGACCTGATTATTTACCTACAAAGAATTCCTATCCCACATCTCTGAACTGAAAACATTCTCCAATGGTCACACTTAATAGCACGTTACTTGGCTTCAAATACCCACCTCCTTTGTCTCTTCAGAGAAAGCTTGCAGAATGTCCGTCTGCCTGGTGTAGTTGCCATTGGCATCCTGCAGACCCTGCAGAATCCGCTCCCGCAGAACCAGCACAGAGACTCGGAGCTGGTGCCAGAGGAGCTGTACGGCATGGATGTCCACAATCACATTGACGGAGTAGGACAGCAGCTTCAGGGAGAACTCCGTTTCGAGAAGCGCATGGATTTGCTCCACATGATCCGAAATATCTTCACAAATGTCCTGCAGTAAAGAAAAGCAAAATACATGAAGACTATTTAGCCTTATTCTAGGGACGGGGGTTGGGGGGGGGGTGAGTCACTCCTTCACTTGACACCAGTTGTCAGGGCCCCCAGGTCAGGTAAACCACATGTCAGATGACCTGCCTTTGTTTTAGATCAGATACCTAGTGGCAGGCCGTATTCCTGGGCACTGGCCCTTCAGTGCACACAGCTAAGTTGATCTTTTTGTAAAACAGAAAGGTGCTACTATTCTTTCCGATTTAATTATTTCACTTTGAAAGTTTAGCCAAGGTGAGAGGTCACCTCACAAATCCACTCTATTCTCTTTATTTACTGTTTGTTTGGGATCCTGGCAAGGGAGCCAACAGCTGTTTTCTGGGCTAGTGGTGAGTCCCTCTGAGCGCACAATATCTCAGGATAGATGCATCATCCAGATACTGAGCAGGAAGAAAGATGGGCTAGAATGTGTCCTTCATGGGACCTCCCAACCATTCTCAATGAGCCATGGGGTCGCCTTTGGTGTAAGAGACAATTGTCACATTTTCACAATAACAGATTTTAATATTTAAATTCATAAGGAATATCTAAGTTTCAACCCACACTTTGTAATCAGAATCACTCTTTTCTTAAACCTTTCTATTTGAGTATAGTCGACACACAATGTTACATAAGTTTCAGGCGCATGACATAGCAATTCAACTTCTCTAAATGTTATGCTATGCTCACCACCAGCGTAGGTATGATCGGTCACCATACAGCACTATTACAATATCATTGACTATGTTCCCTATGCTGTGCCTTTTATCCCTGTGATACTTATTCATTGCATAACTGGAAGTCTGTATTTCCCACTCCCCATCACCAGGCTAACCCATCCTCCCTCCCCCCTTCCCTCCAGAAACCATCAATTTGTTCTCTATATTTATAGGTCTGACAGAATTACTCTTAAGAAAGAAAGCCAGAGCAAAATAAGTCAATCAGAGAAAGACATGTATCATATGACCTCACTGATATGAGGAATTCTTAATCTCAGGAAACAAACTGAGGGTTGCTGGA